GGCCATGGGGGGAGTGGACACAGGCCATGGGGGGGAGTGGACACAGGCTGTCATGGGGTTTACGGTGGAAGGGTAGGCCATGGCAGGTGGACTGTGGACGGATGGTTGTGAAGTGGAGGGGTGGCTGTGGTGGGTTGGGTAGCAGACAAGGGGTCTGTGTTTGAGTTGAGGAGTCAGCGCAAGACTGGTTGAGAAATGGCATCAAGGGAAAAGCACAGCAGAGTGCTTTCAGCATTGAGACAAGCGCAGCATAAATTGGTTTTTGCTGATGACAATATTTTGGCTGTTATCTGGGCACCCAAAGCACTTTTGACCAGAATGTGTTCATCAGGTGTGATGATACATGTAGTGAAGGGCCAGCACATGGGAACCTTTTGATAGTGAGCGTGCCTTTCCTCCCTCTGGAGCCCGGAATCCATCCTTTACATGTAATCCAGGTGCACGTTCGCACAATCAAGTGAAACTTGCTCACATCTCACTCATCAGAAATCCAGCCACTCCTGCTGTGACAGACCAAATACAGAGCAGGAATGCTCCTTCCTTGCCAAATGGTTTGTCCTCTTTTAATCCCTGGGAAAGATGCACAGAGTAGCAGGCATGATGGCCTCCCTCAGTGAGCATCTGCTGAGCGGGCGTCCTGTCAATGTTCGGGATGTGGGGCTTCCCAATCAGAGGCCACCTCTCTCCTAGCACCAACCATCAGGGTGACGCTGTGCCCACTCCATGCCAGCAGGTGGCCTGTGCAGCCCGGTGACGCTGTCCTCTCCCCAGGTCGTGTGGATCACGGCCACCATGCCATACGTGGTCCTTTTCGCCTTGCTCCTGCGAGGAATCACTCTCCCTGGAGCCATGGACGGCATCAGGGCGTACCTGAGCGTTGACTTCCGTCGGCTCTGTGAGGCGTCCGTGAGTATGCCCACCGCTCGCGACCCTGCAGTCCATGCGGACTGGCAGGCACGGTGTCAGGGGGTCCCCATGCTTTGGGGCAGGAGATCCCAAAGGCAGAACCTGGGCTGGAATTTCTCACTCGCCCTATAAATCCAGCAGGTGCTGGCTGTCCTGCTGTGTGCAAGGTTCTGCAGGGCAATGTGTAAACCTGATCCCACCCGTAGAGTTCACCGTCTTGTTGAGCAGGGGGGTGGGAATGGACAGGAGGGAGTGGGTGCAAATTCAGGTGTACTAGATGGGCGATTCAGGAGAGCTCAATGGACCAGAAGAAGGCAGTTAGGGGAAAGGTCACCTGCCGGGTCTTCACAGAAATAGGATGAAGGCTCCTGCCTATTGACCTCTTCCCCATGTCCCATCCCATGTCCCGGAGGAATGCTTTTGGGTTCCCGGATAAGCACCGATGGCCCTGCCCAGTCTGTGCCAGCGAGCTCCGCCACTCGCCTGGAATGCAGCCTGAGCTCCAGCTCCCTGTCCATCGGCCCAGCAAGGCTGAGAATCGCAGGAACCAGGGCTCCTCCTCGGGAAGCCAGACCTCAGTGGTGAAACATTCCAGTGCCCCCAGCACAAGAGCATGATCTGAAACACTAACTCTGGAGTCAGGCTGCATGTTTCTTCGGCAAAGGAAGCAGTACTGGAGGCAGCCTCCTGGAGAGCAGAGGCTTGGCCGGGCCATGGGAGAGGGGTCTCCGGAGAAAGAGAGAGAAGGGGTGGCATTGCAGGGAAACAGCTCAGAAATGACGGTGACCGCTGGCCGGTGGGTGTAGGGGTAATGGGAACGGCAGCTTTCCAAAGGGAATGGGTGCAAATTCAGGTGCACTAGATGGGCAGATGGTGGGATTCCAGCAGCCACCCGGGGAGTAACTAGGTGTGGAAGGCCATGTGGCCAGGAGGGGAAGGTCCAGGTTGGGGGTAGGGGCCCCTTTGGAAGGGGCTGCCTTATGCTGCTAGGTTGCAATGAGAGGCAGTGTGGGGCTCACTAGGGACTCAGGAAGCAGCAGCCCTGAGGCAGAAATGGGAAGAATGACAGGGTGTGGCTCAGCTCCCAGGAAGCCCCAGGAGGGGAAGTGGCTGCAGGAGCCATGGGAGGAAGGCGAGATGAGGTGAAGGGAGAGGGAGCTGGACAACTGGAGAGAGAGGAAATGCAGCAGAGGCCCAGACACGGCTCCAGGCAACATGCACGAGGAAGCAAAACAGATGCCAGCACTGATTCATAATAAATTAACTGTGGTCGTGTGGGCAAATGCAAAGAATGCATGAAGACGTGGTCCCTTTTCATCACGGTCCTTCAGGCCAGTGACACAGGAAGGTTTATTCCCTGAGACGCCTATGACGCTGATCATGTTGTTGATGCCAGGTGCTTGTTGATAATGGCGTTTAAATTCCACCCTGTTCCATGGAGCTGGAGGCATCTCAGCAGGAGACACCTGCAGGGAGGACAGGGAGTTGAGGCTTCGGTCTTTGCACAATTGCACAATTGCCTCGCGACAGCTGGCCCTCACTTCCGCAATTATCTCCAACAGCTGCTCATTCCCCCTCTGGCTGCAGGTTTGGATCGATGCTGCCACCCAGATATGCTTCTCACTGGGCATTGGGTTTGGGGTGCTAATCGCCTTCTCCAGTTACAATAAATTCACCAACAACTGCTACAGGTAGGTTCTGAGCTCTTGTCCCATTCCCTCCCATAAGATGGTCTGCAAAAATCAATGTGCATCACTGATATGGGGGTGGGGGTATCACGATATGTGCCCAGTAGAAAGGAAGGGGAAGTAAGCTCTGTGTGCAAAACCACTGAGCCAAATGGCTTTTTAAGTGAAAACTAAAATGGGGAAGCTACAGGCAAAATGCTGGTCCTTGCTTTCAGGAAGTTATTGAAACACATGAAGATGTACATCACCTCCCTGCAAGGAAGCCTCCTAAATCCCAGGAGCAGCAGATTCCCCCCGAGGCCCCAACCCTGCCTCCTCCTCTCCCCCTGCCTCCCTCCTCTTCCCAAAGCCCAGGTCAGGCTCCTCCTCCAGACACCCCCACAGTGAAGCACCTAAATGAGTCCCCTGGCCTGCACCTGGGAGCCTGGGTCCCACAGGGTATCCCAGACCCTATGCAGAGGCACCCAGATGACCCAGCATCAGGACAGGAAGGAAAGTGGCAGCACTGTGTGCCCACAGCCTGGTGGCATCTTGGCTATGCCACCTGGCCCAGAATGACCTGACTTAGCTGCTGCCACATGTGGGACCCAAAATCCTTCTAAAAACAGAAACAGAATTTACCTGGGACCTGCTTTCTTTGACCTTTACAGGCTCATGTTTAAATATATTTTTATTGATTTCACTGGGGATGGAGCCCGCAACCCAGGCATGTGCCCTTGACTGGAATCGAACCTGGGACCCTTCAGTCCACAGGCCAATGCTCTATCCACTGAGCCAGACTGGCTAGGACTACAGGCTCATGTTTATAAATGGAGCCCGCAACCCAGGCATGTGCCCTTGACTGGAATCGAACCTGGGACCCTTCAGTCCACAGGCCAATGCTCTATCCACTGAGCCAGACTGGCTAGGACTACAGGCTCATGTTTATATTCTTTCATATCCTGAGGATAAAATGTGGTAAAAATACAAAGACAGCGAGTGTGCACAGCAAAATGACCAGACAGACTGCTGCCAGGCTCCCACAGAGGGTGAACTCTGGGCGGCTGTTTCCAACACAGCCCTGCCTGAGCCCACCTGTGCCCTCAGGCCGGGCACTCTGCAATGTCCTTCCATTTGGCTCCCAGGAGGGCTGAGAGTGGAGTCTCCAGACCAGCAGCACCAGCCCCCCAGAAGCAGCAGGAAAATACAACAATTAGGGCCCCCCAAACCCACCCTGTCCTAATCTGCATTTGAACAAGGTCCCTGCTGCCTGACAGCTCCCTCACCATGGGTGGGGACCCCCATGGCCATCTGTTTGTCCACCCAGAGCCCCCGGGTTGCTGGTGCAGACCATCTCACCTTCATCACTCAGTCATGTGTCCCAGGAGCCTTGCCATCCCGGCCAAACATGACGGCTGCTCACCATAAGGACATGCCCAGAGCCCAGAACCCGCAGCTGGGAGGTCCCGTCCCAACGGGCAGCGCAGCCAAAGGACAGGCTCTGCAGCTGCAGGAGGGCCTGGCCGCGCTTGGCAGGAAACATGTAGTAAACTGAGAATAATGACTGGAAATGGCAGCTGCTCCAGCGCTGGCCTGGGTGTCTTGTTCTCACAGAGACGCCATCATCACCACCTCGGTCAACTCCCTGACGAGCTTCTCCTCGGGATTCGTGGTCTTCTCCTTCCTGGGGTACATGGCCCAGAAGCACAGTGTGCCCATCGGGGACGTGGCCAAGGATGGTGAGTCCCCCGAGGGCAGGCTGCGGCCCCCACACTTCCACCTGCTCCAGGCCAGTTCTCAAAAGGTGTTTTCTTGCAAGATGAGGGGGAGACACAGGCCTTGGTACAAGAAGAGTTGCTGATCTGAAGAATTGCACATGTTCGTGTGCTGGAACGATTGCAAGACAAATAACTGGAAGCAGGACAACCCCTGTCCCCGCATCCTCCCACTCCCACCCTCTGCGGGACAATGTGACAGTGGCCCCTCAGCCATGTGCTCCTCACAGAGGCCACTTGGGCTGCAGGATGAGGTCCAGTTCCTTTGTCAGTCTGGATCCCCCAACTTTGTTTACACCCTGAGGGGAGATGAGCGGGGTTGGGAGCACTGAGCTGTCCCAAGCAGCAAGGCTTTTGGATTTCCACGCATGATCGCTTTTCCCTCCAAACACCAGTGGCCATGACATGTTTACGGGGGATGTGGACAGTATTCAGAGGAAACCTGGACTCTCCAGCACACGGTGCCTGTGCCTTTTCCCTCCAAATACCAATGACCATGACATGTTTACGGGGGATGTGGACAGAGGAAACCTGGACTCTCCAGCACACGGTGCCTGTGCCCTGGGAGTTGACGGGTGGAGGGTGCGGGTGCGGGCACAGACCACACAGGAGCGGGCTAGGCCCCAGCAGGGAGTGCACCAGGCAGGGGAAGCTGGGAGACTGGGCACAGATATGAGTCCTGAGAGGGGACTCTGATTGCTGCAGCTCCCTGAGCACCTGGGAGTCTGCTTGGTTCTAGTTCGTGATGGAAACCGTGGCATAGGCAGCCTTGAATGGGGTCAGTGCAGGCTCCAGGCCTCTTGAGATGGCTGCAGCCCTCCCCTGCCTTCAAGACTGTTGTGCAGGTGATTGGGGAGGGGTCTCTCCCCTGGAGACTGTCCTCTGGCTCTGGGGCACTGCCCCGAGTTTGAAGGCCTCCTTCCCCTTCTCCTGGCTGCTGGGAAGTCCCTTCTGCTGGGGCTGCTCCTTAGATTCATCTGTGAGTGCAAAGGACGCATCTTCCTGGGTCAGGAATCATTCAGGGAGGGACCCACCTGACCTGTGTCCTCAGCTCTCATCCGGCAGCTCTCATCCCATCTATTTCCCGAGAGTTGAGCATTAAGAACCCACTTTGAAAGTAGAAAACAGAGACTCCCAAACCCAAAAGATCCCCTCTGAAATGGCAGAGAAAGCAGGGGGCTGGGATGAATCCTTCACATGGTTTTAGGTCCATATTCTTCCCTCTAGGAAGAAACATTAATAAAGGTGGGAGAATGGGAACATAAACGCAAATAAGTACAGAGCAGTGAAATTTACTCACCTGCATGTATGCATTTTCTCCGGTTTTTTTTGCCCTTTATTATGATAAATAGGAATAACTTGCAAAGACCTCTATTAACCCTTGAAGGTAAAGCTGGATGTTTTCTATGCATTTGCATGACAAGCAAAGTAAATGTCATTTATGGCTCTAATTCTCAGGAAAACAGGGTGAAATGTTAACTCGGATACAGAAATGAAAGGTGAGGGTGTTGACATTAATTCAACAGAGCTGATGAATCTCTCTCAGGGTTCCTGGCTTTATGGCATTTAGACTTTACAGCATCTCAAAGAATTAACCCTTGGCCTTGCATTTCAGTCATCAGAGAGCCCAGCCCGACCCCAGGGCCATAGAGCCTCTGGGAGGTTGGCCGGTCTCTGGCCTTTGTCCCATCCTCTAGAGCAGTGGTTCTCAACCTGTGGGTCGCGACCCCTTTGGGGGTCGAACGACCCTTTCACAGGGGTCGCCTAAGACCATCGGAAAACACATATATAATTACATATTGTTTTTGTGATTAATCACTATGCTTTAATTATGTTCAATTTGTAACAATGAAAATACATCCTGCATATCAGATATTTACATTACGATTCATAACAGTAGCAAAATTACAGTTATGAAGTAGCAACAAAAATAATTTTATGGTTGGGGGTCACCACAACATGAGGAACTGTATTAAAGGGTCGCGGCATTAGGAAGGTTGAGAACCACCGATCTAAATATTTCAGATTTTGTGGTCTCTACACTGGAGTTGTAAACAACCATAACATGGGCAGAATTCACCATAAGAGTGGTGTGTGAAGTGCTATGATATTTCAGAAGGAGGAGGGAGGGAAATTCTGGCTGGACAGGACAATCAGGGTTGGCTTCACAGAGGAGGTGGCATCTGAGCTGAACTTTTAAGAGTAAGTTCAATTTCTATCGGCTGAGAAAGGCTGCTGCAGGGTAGAGGGGACTGAAAGAATGAGCGTATCGAATTGTAATGACACAAGTTAGGAGGGAAAATTGGGGAATTGGGTGGGGGAAGGGGATTATAGTCTTTTTTGTCATCTCCACCCTTCCGTGTTCACCCGCACCCGGTCCCAGCTCTCCTCTTTCTCTCAGCATCTAAGAAAGATTAACTTCTCTCAGTGCGAGAGAGAAAGTTATCATTAGCAAAGAATTAAGAGTGATTAATGATGCTACCCCTCCCCCCATCAGCCTTATCTGGTGGCGATGAGCTGGACAATGCGGCGGGTTGGGCGGGGGAAGAGAAGGAGAGGGAGAATGGGAAACAATAAATGTTCAATGCAAGGAAAACGGGGCGCAGCGCTGTTCCCACTTGTTAGATTGAAGGCTCCTCTCCAGAGGGGGGAAGGCTCCAAATTGCTAATTAGCACCTCTGAAAAGGCCTGTCTCTGATATGCGCGTCGCTGAAAGGCCGCCGTTAATGAAGCCGCCGCGAGCCCGCTTCCCTTTGACTGGCCTTCATCCCTCCTCCGAGCCCGGGGCTGCGGGAACAATGAGGCGGGGAGGGGCGGCTCCCCCAGGCCTCTTTTCTTCATCATGCTGCTCACCCTGGGGATCGACAGTGCCGTGAGTGACGTCAGCATTTCCCGTGCCTGGTCCCGCCCACCACAGCCAGGCTCATCTGCAGCCACAGACGCTCCCTGGGGTCCCCTAAAGCTTGTGTTCACACAGAGCGCCACGTGGGTGGCAGGGAGGGGGCCCACAATTACCGGGATAAAGTGTTTGGACCAACTCACCCCTTCTTTTTTCATTCGGGGTGCCAGCTGCGCTCTCTGCCTGAGCCATCATGGGCCCTAAATACACACGAAGCAAGAGGGCTGTGCAGGAAAACAGGGTAATGTGACAGAGTCAAGGCAGATTCCTCATGATGCATCACTTTCCCGGCCCGTCAGCCCTAGGAGGGGTGGCTGCACCTGCAGGATAGGGCAACAGAAGTCTCTAGCCGCAGCCTAGGCCTTGCCGGACCAACTCACCCCTCTTTTTTCATTCGGGGTGCCAGCTGCGCCCTCTGCCTGAGCCATCATGGGCCCTAAATACACACAAAGCAAGAGGGCTGTGCAGGAAAACAGGGTAATGTGACCACACAGAGTCAAGGCAGATTCCTCATGATGCATCACTTTCCCGGCCCGTCAGCCCTAGGAGGGGTGGCTGCACCTGCAGGATAGGGCAACAGAAGTCTCTAGCCGCAGCCTAGGCCTTGCCCATTGAGGGTCTCGTGAGACCTTTCGTGTGTGTGTACGGGGGGTGTTCTAGGGGGTGGACAGTGGGCCCTCGTTTGGCCCTGGGCCTCCTGGACTTCCTCAGCCTCCCTTCCCATTGCCTGCTCATGACCTGCTGAAACCTCAAGGTCCTTGTGACTGGCCTTGTTCCCCTGAGCTTCCTGGAAAGTGCAGAGTCCCTCCCCATGAGAACTCTGGTCACAGTCTGTAGCCCTCCACCTCCTCTCCCGCCAGCCCGGTCACCAGCCCTGAGGGTGGACCACGCCCTTGGACAGCAGGTCTGGTGGGGATGCAGTCCTGACAGCACTTCCTGGGGGAGGTGGTCTCGATAGAGTGGTGCTAGACAGACCCCAAGCAGTCAGGGCCCCCAGGACACACACTCAGAGTCAGAAAGGCTTCGTATGTTAGTCACATAGCACTTCTCCCCACCCCCTCCCCCCAGGACTTCACAGTGGCTGGGAAAGTCACCACCAGTGGACGGAGCATCCAGCCCAGTCCTCTCTCTCCAACAACCATGTCACAAGAGAAGCCCTCACCAGGGCTGTCTTGTCCTTAGGGCATTCTGCACCCTGGACACCGTGCAGTTCCCACTCCATGTCCATTTTCTGGGTGAACATCCACTGAATCTCATGTAAATCGCACCTCGGTGTGGTCCTGAGTGCCCCCCAGCGCGTCCCCTGCTCTGTGTTGGCTGCAGATGGGCGGGATGGAGTCAGTGATCACCGGGCTCATTGATGAGTTCCAGCTGCTGCACAGGCACCGGGAGCTCTTCACCCTCTTCATCGTCCTGGTCACCTTCCTTCTCTCCCTCTTCTGCGTCACCAATGTACGTACAGGCTCAGCTCACTTGACCATGTCTCATTAGCACTCAGCACTGGGCAGCAAAAGGCTGGTGCGGTCAGGCCAGACAGAGCCACAGCTCTTCTAAGGCTGCATCCCTCCAAAACAACCCTTGATTTATAATCATACTTGGGTAGCTGTGGTCACACTTGGGTAGCCATGGCCACGTGGAGTAGCCGTGGTCACTCCCTGGTAGCTGTGGTCACTCACAGGTAGCCACGAGCACATTCAGGCTAGCAGTGATCACACTTGGATAGCCGTGGTCGCATGGAGTAGCCGTGGCACCTATGGAACATGGTCTAGACTCTAGAGTTACTTCAGTGCCTGGACAGCTCCCTGTGAGGTGCCCTTGGCTCGGCCACCTGCCTGTGGATTTATGGGGCTGGAGGGAGGCACCCAGGTCACCTCCTTTCCCAGTAGGGGTTCTGCCAAGCTTGGCATTTGGCTGCTTTCATTTCTAATGCCACCAGGAGCCCTCAGAAAGGAGAAGAGAGGTCATCTTTTTTTTTTTTTTTTGTAATGGATGTGTCCCTAAGAAGTTGCAGGTGGATTGAATTTTAGTGACTCAAATCAGACTTTATAGGGAGTAGTAAAACAGAATCTGTCTATAAATTGAACCCACAAGCCAGGCATATGTCTTAAGGAAAGCACTTTTGTGGTCAAGGCCTGCCACGCCAGGACACCGGAGTTCAGTGGGCACTCCCTTCTCTTTCAGGGTGGCATCTATGTGTTCACTCTGCTGGACCACTTTGCAGCCGGCACATCCATCCTCTTTGGGGTGCTCATCGAGGCCATCGGGGTGGCCTGGTTCTACGGTAAGGACGAAACCTTTCCTGGGGCTGGTGTGCTTCGGCGGGCGGGGGACCTGGCCACGGTGCTGCTGCTTTGTGGCTGTGCCGCTGCCTTCCTGGCGAAGCTGGCTGGAAAAGGGAAGAACATTAGCTCTAGAAAGCTTATTGTGGTGACCACAGCATCACAGAGATGAGAGGCTTGGCAGCATCATTCCCTTGGATCAATGAAGACAGCCTGGGTGGCACCCCAACACCCTCAGCAAACCTGCCTCAGCCATGCCAGAGGCTGGGGCAAATTCAGGGCAGGAGAAATCCCTTTTAAGATCTCCTGGAGAAAATACTGGTCATCTAGAAATAATTTCCTTTAAAAAATGGTGAATATATACATACAATGGAATACTTTTCATCCTTTAAAAAAAGGAAATCCTGACACACGCTACAACATGATGAACCTCGAGGACATTATGCTGAGATAAACCGTCCCAAAAGGAAAAACCCTCTGCGAGTTCACTCCTAGGATGGTCCTAATGTTGTCAAGCTCATAGAGACAGGGCCGGGGAGGTGGGGGAAGGGGGTTATTCTTTAATGAGTTCAGAGTCTCAGTTTGGGAAGATGGAGAAATCCTAGAGATCAATGGAGATGATGGCTGCATGAACGTACTTAATGCCACAGAACTTAAAAATGATTAAGATGGTAAATTTTTTGTTATATCTATTTTGCCACAATTCTTGAAGTGAAAAAACAAATAATGACTGCAGAGGGGAAGCAAGGACAGCTGTGGGGGGAGGAGGGGCAGGACAGCTGTGGGACATCGGGAGGACCCCTGAGGTGAGCAGAGGGTGGAGCGGGTCAGGCAGAGTGGCTGGTACTGCACCAGTCTTCCTCATCAGGATTGAGGAGCAAACATCACCCAGTGTCACCATGGGGAACATGTGTGGGGACTGCCGTCAGCAAGAGCACCGGGCAATCTGGAGGGGGGCTGGTCCCTACAGGAGGCAGTCTGGGCTTGAGGTCCCCTGGGGCGGCCCCGGGGGTCAGCAAGGACCAAGGTCTTTGCCTGGGCCTCAGAGAAAGTGCTGTCCTGACCTCCCTGCTTGGCTCCCCAGGCGTGCGGCAGTTTAGCGATGACATCAAGCAGATGACCGGGCAGCGGCCCAGCCTCTACTGGCGGCTGTGCTGGAAGTTCGTCAGCCCCTGCTTCCTCCTGGTAAGGGGCCGAAGGCCATGAGCATCCCTGCTCTGCCCAGCTCTCGCATCTACCCCAGGGTCAGTGGTGGCCGCAGGCAGGTTTCACCAAGGCTGGGGCGGGGGGGGACCCATGCTGCCTGGAGACCAGGTCTCTGAGGTGGAGTCGGCGGTCATGCAGGACTCCAGGAGGGCCAGCTGGTCCCTGAAATCCTCTCTGGCCTCCTGAAGGCGCGGCCCACCCCCCGCTAAGCCCACTGAGGACCCCACGTGGGATCTAGGGTGATCTCCTCCATGAAGGCCCTTGTGTGTCCTGCATTCGGCCATACCTCTGTGTTAGCGGGGAGGCCCGAGATGAGTGAGGTTATTGGTGTTTTCCTTGAGGACCAGATAGAATTTAAACCTCCTGGGGCAGCAAGTACTCAGTCCAGAGGACAGAGTGAGGTGGATTCTGTCACCACTCTGCCCTTGGGGGCCTCCCCAGGCACAGGCACAACTCACCGTCCAGCAGCTGCCTGGCTTTTATTGTCTGGGCCAAAACCACATGTGCCTGTTTTATTAAAACATAGCAGTGCCATTCATTTACAGCAGGGGTGGGGAACGTCCAGCCTGCCGGCCATATAATCCTGCAAAATCATTTGGTCTGGCCCTGCCAAGGCATTAAGGTGAGGTAATTAAATGTTTGACCAAATATAGCAGGCTAATGTTTAAGTTGATAATTTTGTATGGCCCATGAATGATGTTATAAATACCCAAATGGCCCTTAGCAGAAAAGAGGTTCCCCAGCCCTGCCTTACAGGCTGCCCGTGGCTGTTTCCTCGCTGTAGGAGCAGGGCTGAGTGGTTGTGACTGAGACCCGATGGCTCTCGACACCTGAACTACCCCAGCAGGTCTGGACAGGTGACTCCAGATGGCCATTCAAGGCCAAGTCCAGGTCTGAGTGCAGAGTCGGGGAGCTATGCACAGAGGCCAGCACCCCCTGACCCCTGGCTCTCCCCTCACCCCAGCCAGCCCAGTGGGCACCTCGGACAGGCCTGGGATGGACAGGCAGCTTAGGCTGACCCCGTCATGGGCCAGCCCAGAGGCTAGTGAGAGAAAGAGGGAGGAGTCAGGGTGCAGCACCTGATATGACGGTGCTTCTCACAGAGCCGCACCCAAACCTTTGGAAGCTGCTTGCCACCCCCACCTGGCAGCCTGAGGCCTGTCTCCAATATGCCCATCTCCCCGCTCTCCAGAGGGCGGAGGCTGTGGGGGTGTGAACTCTAGACAGACGAAGTGTTCTTGTGCTGCTCTACACACTCAGGTCCCCCGATGGGACAAGGTGTGAGGTTGTCAAAGGACAGCAGAGGGAATGCCCACCGTCAAACTCAGAACTGAGAGGACGTGCACCTCAGGAGCACCATCCTGTGGCAGCAGCTGGGGACTCGGAGCAGCAGGAGAAGCAGGCCACTGCCTGGGTTCCCTGGTCTGCGGGGCCAGGGCCCCTAGAGCTGTGGTGGCTGGAAGACCCCCGGCCCCGACACGCTGGCCCCATTCCACCTCTGCACCCCCCACCTGCTGGCCGAGTGCAGCCTCATGACCTCTGCCCTTGGTTTCAGTTTGTGGTCGTGGTCAGCATTGTGACCTTCAGGCCCCCGCACTATGGAGACTACGTCTTCCCCGAGTGGGCCAACGCACTGGGCTGGTCCATCGCAGCGTCCTCCATGTCCATGGTGCCCATCTACGCGGCCTACAAGTTCTGCATCCTGCCCGGGTCCCTGCGGGAGGTGCGTATGTGAGCAGGGCCCCTTACCCATCCCGGTACCTGACCATGAGGCCACCAACTACATCAAGTGGACTTTTACCTCCCGCCAGCCAAACTCTGAACATAGACCACATAAAATCTCAGTACCTGAGACAGGTGAGGCTGTGGGAGGGTCCTCTGAGGCTGCGACACTGAGAGGAAACCTGGCAGCTGCTGACAGATGGGCCCTGGAGGACCAGCAAGGAGCACAGTCGCTCTGTCCAGCCCTGGGGCCTGGGCCACTGGGGCAGGAAGTGGAAGGAAGACGAGCTTCCTGGAGCTGAATGTGACAGAAAGCAGGCTCCTCCTGCGTGGCATGTGAGCTTCAGGTGCCCCGGAGCCGGACTTGGGCCAGTTGGGGTGCGTGTTGTTCACCTTCCCTCGGAGCCCACCAAGAGCTGATGTGGAGACAAAACTTCTCCAGCATCTGCGTCTTTAACTTGTGCTGGACTCTGCTCCAGGGCCTAAGGGGACCCGGATGTCAGCTCCCGTACCTGACCACCACATGCCAACCAGGGAGTCTAGTCGCCTTACTGAGTGTGTGCCGGCACCCACGGCCTCTCCATTTCTCCTAGAAAGTGGCCCACGCCATCACCCCCGAGAAAGAGCGCGAGCTGGTGGACAGCGGGGAGGTGCGCCAGTTCACGGTGAGTGAGTGCTGCTGTCCCCACTGTCCCCTCGGTTGGATGCACACAGATCTGGAGAGCAAGCCTGTCCTTGAACCACGGCCCTCAGAAGGCTGGGAGGCTCGTTCACTCATTCAGAGAATGCTCCCTGCCACCACCTTCTGAGAACCCCTGACCTGAGGAGGGCGGGCAGCAGGCGAAGTGTATCAGGTGCAGACAGCAGGCGGAGAAAGAGAAAGCAGAGAGGGGCGGAACCTGACTTGAGGCCCACCAAGACATGGCATCTGAGCAGTCATCTGTGTGAAGGGAAGGGCCTGCATTTCAAGGGGTGGGGGGCACATCACAGGGAAAGGCCCTGAGGGGTGGGCCACCTTGCTGGTCATCTGCAGGAGGTGAGAGGCTCCAGAAGGTCTGGCACCAAGATCTGATGGAGCCCAGATCTGATGACATCGACAGGCTCCCTCGCTCGGGCTGCTATGAGGTGGGGTTACGAGGAGACTGGGGGAGATAAAGGGAGGCTCTGGTGGGAGAGAGTAGGGGGTCATATCAGGCCTGTGGCAGGATTTATTCTTTCTCCTCACCTTACAACTGTGAGCCATCTGAGCATGCATGAGCTTCCATACATGTTTACCATATGCTATGGAGCAGCTGTGGAAATGGCCGTAATGTTGTTGAGAGACAAAGTAAAATGTGTGACACATTTTAACTCCCACATCCTACGAAGTAAGTTGTCACTCTCTCTTCCAAGAGGGTGCCCCTGAAGCACGGAGAGACTAAGGAACACCCCACAGTAACATAGCTGGTCAGTGGAAGGTGACCTGGCAGACACTCCCTCTTCTACTACCTTGTGAGAAGGGCTCAGATCAGGTGAGAGCTGAGTCAGGGTGCTAATGACAGCTATGACTGCTGGATGGCCAATCCTTCCAGGATGTGGATGCCACATTGATTCAAAAACCATCAAAGGGGCACTATTTTAGGCAGGGGTGGGCAAGGTGGTCCATTAAGACAGAGAACTTCGTCTTACACAGTTTGAAGGACAGATGACTTGGTGCAGACTGTTATTCATTCTTTGCTTTCTATCTCATTAATTTCCCCTCCTGTTTTTATTATTTCTTTATTCTTTGGGTTTACTCTGTTATACTTTTGTCAACATCTTAATTTAGACCTTGGATCACTAATTTTCAACCTTTCAGTTTTCTCATATAAGCCTTCAAGGCTATGACTTTTCTTCAAAATACCCTGTTGGCTGCATTCCACAACTTTTAACAGTATTTTCCTCATCATTCAGTTCTAAGCTTATTTTAATATATATTGTGATTTCTTCAAGTCTGCTTTTATATCACCACCTGTTTCAGTTACTGTCTTTCAGCATTTTGAAGACATTAATTCTCCACTGCTGCCTCTGTCATCACACTGAAAAACTTGCAGTCCTATGGAGCATGGTTGCCATGTGCTATGGACCCTTTCCTGTTTCCTTTGCTTTTGGTATTGAAGTTTCCCTGTAGTGTGCCTTTCTCTTTTTTAAAATTTATCTTTATTGCTCAAAGTATTACAGATATTCCCCTTATTTCCCCCATTGACCCCCCTCTCAGGATATCTTGTGTGACCAGGGTGTGTGGGTCCATCTTTTTTGTCAGTTCTGGGAATTTTGCAGGTAGACTTAAATCTTGCCTCTTGCCTCTCTGTTTCCCTTTGGGGCTCTGGTGTGTGAGACTCACCTGGGCATTATGCTGATTGATTCTTTGGGGTTTTTTGTTGTTTTTTTTCCATGTGTGTAGTTACAGCACCTCTCTTTTTGCTTCTTATACCTACAGTTCATTAAGCCTCTTGGAACTCTGCATTCATAGTTTTTAGCAAATTTGGGAAATTCTGGCTATCATTTCTTCAGCATTTTTTCTGCTCCCACCTCTTTCAAGGGCTCCAATTACATGTGTTAGGCCACTTTAATTTTCTTTTTCCTCTGTTTTATTTCATATGCTTTCTGTTGTATTTTACTTCACTATTTGTTTCCTCTGCAATATCTAATGTGCTGATAATCCAGCAATTTATCGTCTCACACATTGTAGTTTTCTTCTCTAGAGGTTCAATTTGGGTCTTTTCACAGCTTTCCTGTCTCTGCTGAACTTTTTGAGCATATAGAGTGCAGTTATAATCACAGGTTTAATGTCCTTCTCTGCTGATTTTAACATTTATGTCAGTTTCTGTTGGTTGACTTTTCTCATTAGAGGTGAATTTTGCTGCTTCTGTGCATGTCTGGTGATATTTAATTCCATTCCAAATATTGTGAGTTTCACCTTGCTAGGTGCTGGGTATTAAATGTTCTTGAGCTTTGTTCTGGGACATTGTCAAGTTACTTGGGGACAGTGTGATCTTTGGGGGACTTGCTTTTTAGGATTTGTTAGGTGGGAACAGAGCAGCATTCAGTGTAGGAAATAGCCAGTGTAGGGCTATTTCCCACCACAGAAGCGAGTCCTTCGTGAGTACTGTTCCCAGTGTCCCACAAGCCTGGGATTTTCCAGTTGTGCTGGTGGAGCAGGCACGGTTCCCATCCATCCGGGGTGCATTTCAGAGGCTGTTCCCTCTAATCCTGTTGGGTGGCTCTTTCCCAGACCTCCTGTGCACAGAGTCTTCAGCTGAACCCTCAGGGGGACCCTGTGGTCTCCAGGGCTCCCTGTGCAGGTCTCTCCTCTAGGTACTTTGTACTGAAAACTCCAGCTGCCGTGGTGTCCCCAGCACCAGGGGGTTCACTGGCTGCACCAGGGTCCCACTGCAGCCTACAGATTTCTCAGACACATCCAGCCGGGCAGTCTGAGAGCCCCCATGCTTGTTTCTCTCAGTATCATTGTCCCTTGTCATCTGAGGTCCCGTGTCTTGACAACCATTATTATGTATATTTTATTAATTTTTGGGGGGGGCAACATCAGATAGTAAATTCAGTCCCTATTACTCCATCTTGACCAGAACTACCCTTGTGTGTGGCTGTGGCCCACTCCCTCCACCTGCTACATGACATTCACTATGTAAACCTGGCACAACAGGGTCCTCATCCTCCACCGCATGCCTCTCTGATTGTATCCCACTTCACCGACAGCTACACTTCACTTCACCCCTGGAAGCTGCATTTGGTCCGCCCGTTTCTTGTGAAATACACCATCATTGTAGGTGGCAGATGTCACTTTTAAAACGTTTTACACAGCTGCCCCGCAATCTGACAGTGGCAACCTCTCTGGTCTGTGGGGTCTGAAGTTTCTATTGTTCTGACTCTACTGAGGGTGGGCTGCAGCCATGTTCCTGGTGTCCTTGTTCACGAGCTCATGGCTTGATCTTAATCTGTTGGAGTTCTGAGATGCCCCCTGAGCACACCTTCCTCCAGAGAAGGTCGCCTTCTGCTGCTGCCGTGGCCAGGACAGAGGGTTGAGGCTCGGCCCTGGGTCCCACGCATGGCCTCCCTTGCCCACCAGTTCCCTTTTCAGAGCATCTGGGCTCTGCCAGCGCTGGCCTCACCTGTCGGTCGCTGCCGGCCCCCTGAAGTCCTGACCCCATGTGGGTGATGGAAGAGCCCTATAGGGGACCAGTGGCAGATTGAGCATCTCCCTGTCCCCACCGTGGCTGTGTCAGAAAGAAGCCCTGCATGCCCTTGTTTTAAAAATGTTTAAAAAGCGTAGTTCTTGCCATTTAGTGTGATCGAATGGCTTGTGCTCAAAAATAGGCTGCACTCCCAGCTGCATAATAGGCGATGACATTTGCAGGAAGACTGAATAGCCGGCCTGTCGATCTCATCCGTCCCGAGTGGTAATGAGGCCTGCTCCCGCACCTGTTGGGGTCATGTAAGTGACATAGAACTGCAGGGCACAGCCTTTCAGGGACGGACCAGAGGCCCCAGGAGAGTGGCTGTGGGGGTCTGGAGGCACCCCAGGTGACACACATGCTGTGGGGATGCCATCTGAGACCAGCCCCAGGTTTGCTGGTGTGCAGTGTTTGTCTGGCCAGCAACTGGCCCAGCCCCCATGAGGTCCCCAGCTGTATCCTCACCATCCTCTCTGCTGAGACCCCTCACAGCTACCAGTCAGTCATAGGCTTCTCAATTCACTTCTATATAAGCCCATTTTCTTCGCAGCTGCGCCACTGGCTCATGGTGTAGCGGGGAGTGGAGAAGGAAGGCCCTGGGCAGCCGTCCCTGTGGGAGAGACGCAAGCCAAGACGGAAAAGCCGAGCTCGGACAGAAAGGAGGGCTGCTCCACTATTTAACTTCTGCTTCACTGGAAACACAGGAGTTTTATCTTCTGACTGTTTACACTCTTATACCACGAGGAGAGGGCCTGCTGTCCGTCCTGTGTCGCTGTGTAACCCCGTAGATCTGTGCCCATTCCCGCAGGTAGAAAACTGTGTTCTATTCATGTAACATGTTCCCCACCTCAGCCGCCATCCAGAGCACAGGCCTCGCTCATCTGTGTGCCGAAAAGAAATACAGAAATTATTCGTGCACGCTGTGAGAGCCCAGTGCTCACAGCAGCTCCCTGGGTCACTTATTTTGTTCATATTTTTAAAATAATACCATATTTTGCCTAATTGTGCACAAGGTGAAATGGAAGAACTGCAAAAGTTGATCAAGTGAGGGGCGGGGCGGGGATACTCATGTCTCCACGTTACACACTGCGTCTGTTCAGAGCCACGGAGGGCGAGGGTCCCGTGTATGAAGGGAAGGCTATTTATGTCCTTGTCACTGAGAAAAACAAATCCTGTGGCATCTGTATGGCCACCACCACTCCTGCCTGGTGTGGGCCGTGGTCAGCTCATGCTCACCTTGCTGTGGATCCCCAGCTCTGGGCCCCGACCATGCAGAGCCCCGCAGGCAGGCAGCCTGGGACCCCGCCAGGATTGTATTTCTCTCTGGCACACGTCACATCAGTAACAACACTTTTTAAGTTAGGGAATGGCTTTTTAAAATCATATTTACCTGTGAATCAAAACTAATGCTCAGATGTAGGATGGGTCTCTGAAAATCTGTTTGCTGATGTCCAGTTGTTGTTTAACAAAACCACGTGAGGACTGCTGGCCGAGGACTGCTCTCCGGGCACCTGGCGTCTGCCTGGAGGGAAAGCGGCCATCGGCCTCAGGATGCACGCTCTGGCACAGCTCTGTGCCCCGTGGAGAAGTCCCACTGCGTGTGCTGGCCTGGCAGGGCCTTCTCGGCACCCCCTACCGTGGACGCTGTCCCCAGGGGGTATGGAACTTGCCTCTAGGGCGGGGAGGCGGGCGGTGGGGGGACGGACTGTCAGCTGGAGGCTGTCTGCAGTGTGGCCAAGAGGAATCAGGTCTGTCCTCTCCTCCTTTGGGGGAGCATCGAGAGCTCCATGTAGAACACCGGTGTTGTCAATGTCTGTCTGTGTCCATACTCAGCATCACCAACAATAAAAACTGTATGCGGGAAAGACGACCCCGGCTTGTGTGGCCCCTTTTTTGCTCGACCCCATTGTTTTTATGGGCTGGCTGCCTCAGGCTCACAGCTTCACTCCCTCCTGAGTTCTTCACCGGGCACCTCCCAGACCAGAGGGAGCACAGCCTGGGACCTAAAGGTCTGCTGGACTTAACCTGGACCCCACCCACGGCCCAGGCCTGCAGGTTCCCTGGTGCCCGCTGGCTCGGGCCAACCTACACTGTCCTCCTGCCTCTCTAGAGTCCTCATCCGGCCCATCAGCTCCCCTGCAGGCTCCTGCGTGGCCAGACTTCAGCCCTGTGGTCTGACCACCATGCCTGCTGGGCCAAGTGCCCCTTCCAGGGACATGTACCAGAGTCTCAAGTGGCTCCCTGTCCTTGGTGTCTGAGGGCTTTTCATCCACTCTATGGCCAAAGGAGTCCTTCCAGATACCAGTCAGCTCAGGCCACAGCTTAGAGGAGAGCTCTGTGGCTTATCATTATACTTGAAACAAGCCCAATTCTGTGACCTGAGTGGTCAGGCAGCCAGTCACTCCCTCCAGGCTGTGGGACACTGGTCACTCCTGCCAGACATCCACCCCTGCATGGTCATTCTTGCCCCAGGTCCCCAAAGAATGTCCTCACTTCCTTTGGGTCTCACTTTCCCAGGGACCAGGGGACCCCACAGAGTCTGCCCATTGGGCTCTACCCATCTGGCCACATGCAGGTGGGCCATGCCTCAACTGTCCAGCGCTTCCTGCTGCTGCTTTCCTGGGGTGCTGCCTGCCCCTTGGCTATGACCCAGCCTTTCCGCTCCTGGCTCCACAGGTGTCTCCACCTCTGTCAGCCATCACAACAGACCCTGGGCTGGACACAGGACCTGTCCCAATGGGACAAGGTGAGCAGACCTCAGCACCATTGTGTCCCCTCTGCTCCCAGGTCACCAGAGCAGGCGTGGGCCACTTGGACTAGCTGTCCATGGCCTCACAGGCCTGTTCTGCTGCAGCTGTGCCCTCACCCCAGCTGCAGTGTGAGCATCTGCAGGACCCTGAGAAAAGTCATGAAACAAAGGCCTGATTGTGCCACAGCCCCCACATGGAGCCTTCCAGGTGTCACATTCTGGGGTGGGGAGAACGCCGGGAGCCAAGCTGTCCTTTCTTATATATTCTCCCACACAAAGAGAGACATGTTCATGCACACACAGCGTGTATCCTGCACGTGTCACACGTATAGACACACGTATGCTGCACATATCTTACACATACCACATTTCACACCCACACATGTGAATGCCTGCATGTACACATACAAACAAGCACACGCACCAGGCATGCTTCACATCACACATGAGCATGTGTATGCACACATACATACTCTCATACTGGGTCCACTGCGGTCAGCAGAGATCTTTGTTGTCAGCTGGGCACAGCCTGGGAACTTTGTGCCTCTCTGGACAGTCCCAGGGAGCTGTTCCATGGAGCCAGGCCACCCAAGAACTGCTGAGGGGGTATTGTCAAGGCAGCCACTTGTTACAATGGGAGTTTCCTCCATGTTCCGATCCCAGCTACTAGGCTGGGGTTCCTCCTAGGCAGCCAGACAGATAGCCACATACTTCTCAGAGCTATGACACAAATGGAAGTGACAAAGGGCTTATACCCTGCATATGTAGAGAATTCCTACCAATCAATAAGAAAAAGAGAGACACGCCAATAGGAAAATGAACAGGCACACAAGGGGAGGCGGGTCCAAATGGCCAACGGTCCCACAAAAAGATGCTCAACCTCATCCATAAGCTAGAACATGCAGGGGAAGCTGTGAGGCAACTCCACCTCAGCCCGCCACACCTGGTAAACTCAAGAGGCCGGACACTCCCCACCCATATCTATGAGCAGGCCGCGCAATGGGAACGCTAACACATTTCAGGCACGAGAATAAATGATATGCAACCTGGAAAGTAGGGTGCGTCTTCAAGGTTGAACCACATTAGCAAATGCTGCAAGCTCTCCATCTGGCATATGGGATGTTTTTTGCCTCCAGGTGTGGCACCTGCTGCAGGACAACACAGCTCACACTGTGCACTTCAAGGTTGAACCACATTAGCAAACGCTGCAAGCTCTCCGTCTGGCATATGGGATTTTTTTGCCTTCAGGTGTGGCACCTGCTGCAGGACAACACAGCTCACACCTGGAACCACCCCAGGGGCTGCCTGGGTGACTGGGCCCCTCACATGGAGACTCCTGGGGCTTAGGCCTAGGCCTTCCCTGGGATGGGGATGCCAGTTACCAACCACTGACCATGGGCAAAAGCCTGACCCTGGCCTGAGGGGGGTCTGTGCCCCAGAGTGCCCCAGGGCGGGCTGGCTTGACAGCTCCTGAGACCAGGCCCATTCTTAGCCGTTGTCCCCTTTACCCCATTTCCTTCCCCCTCTGCTGAATCAGGGAATCCTCTGCTTCTCAGGATTTGTCCCCTTTGCCCCATTTCCTTCCCATTTTCTCCTGAGCATCCCCTCTGCTGAATCAGGGAATCCTCTGCTTCTCAGGAGTTCCAGCCTACGGAGAAGTACATCCCCAAACACAACAATTCCACCTCCAACCACGTACCCAGCAGAACACGTACACACCTGTCTGTCACAACACACTGAGAGTTCATGAATGGAACATTTCAGCAGGTAAGGGAGGACCTGTTAGCAGATGGCATTGACTTATGGGGGACACTAGAGGTTAACTTCTGTGCCCCAGCAAGAGACAGTGAAGTCCTAACCCCAGCACCTCATTGGAAATATATCATTACTATTATGTTAGCACAGTGTCAGGGGGTAAATGAGAGCATTAGGGGTAGCATTAGCGGAGGTATGAGAGTATCAGAGGATAGATAGTATTAGAGTCCCTGTTGCTCCACAAACTCACTAACACAAAGGGTTGTCATCTTTTTAATGTTAGCTGTGCGGCTGGGCAGTGGTATTCCCACACAGGACGTATACTTAATGGAATGTAATTAGGTAAGAGGAGGTCATACTAGAGCGGGGAAGGCTTCACCCAATATGACTGGCGACCTTATAAGAAGAGAAGAGAGACAGAGACGCAGCAGGGAGAAGGCCATGGGATGATGGAGGGAGAGATGAGAGTGAGGCAGCCACAGCTCACAATGCCCAGGATCACCAGTCACCCCTAGAAGCTCGGAGAGAGACGTGGAACAGACTATCTCGGGGCCCTGCGGAAGGAGCCAGCCCTTCCTATGCTTGATTTCAGATTCAGACCCCAAAACTATATAAAAATAGTACATTTTAAAGGTAAATAAAATCAATTTCCGTTGTTTGAAGCCCCCCCATCCCACCCAGGTTGTAATGCTTTGTTACAGCAGCCCCAGGAAACTAATACAGGTGGGCCTGCCGGGGATGTCAGAGGGAGCGGTCTACCCTGCATGGAGTTCAGGTCCCTGAGACCACACTCCAGGCTCCAGCCTAATGGGACACATCTCCAAGTTCCTGAGCCTCCCACTTGTTCTCTGTCTAGAACAATCTCCTTTCCACTCTCACCCCCCACTTTCCAACCACCATCCCCAACACCACTCCAGCTTCTCTTAGGCATCACCTCTGGAAGCCTGCTCCAACCCCCACTACTGGGTTCTGGCCCCTGGTCAGTGCCCCCTGAATGTCCACTCCCCCCGGTGTCACAGGAAAGGGCAGCGCTCCTCCCAGTTGGCTGGGGGATCCCCTGGGAAAAGGCCTGAGCTGGTCCCAGTCACTTCTACCAGTGTCTTGAATAGTCCCGGTACACGGTGGATGGTGTCACTCATATACAGGGTGTCCAAAAAAATGTATACACACTT